CTTTTTCGGGGTTCCGACGCTCCAAGGCCGTCCAAGAGTCTCGCAAAACCGCTCCAAGACGGCCGAAGAGGCCCCCAAGACCGCCCCAAGACGACCCAAGAGACCCCCAAAATAGTCCCAAGACGGCCCAGAACAGCCCCAAGATGGCCCAGGAGCCGCCCAAGACGGTTCCAGGAGAGCCCCGACAGGGCTTCAAGACTGCCTAAGCGAGCACAGCGGTCCCCAAGAGGGCCCCGCGAGGCCCCAAGAGGCCCCAAAGAGGCCCCCAAGAGCCTCCCCGGAGGCCCCCAGAGGCCCCCAAGATGCCCGAAAGTGGCCCTGAACGCGCCCCAAGACGCCTCCAGGAGAGCCCAACAGGCCTCCGAGAGGCCCCCAAGAGGCCCACTGGAGGCCCTCAGGAGGTCGTCCCCATCATGTTCCCGGAAGGCGGTCCGGGAACATGATTCCGCGCCTTCGAGGAGCAACTACTCTGCGCCTTCCGAGGCGCCTTGGACGACGTACGTATGTTTCTATAGATTATCTTTCTCCTGTGTACACAATACTACGGGTTTTACATTTTTCCCCTCTCTATATATGTATGTATGTATGTATGTATGTAAGTATGTAAGTATGTGTGTACGTATGTATGTATGCATGTATGCATATGTATGTATGTATGTATGTATGTATGTATGTATGTATGTATGTATGTATGTATGTGTGTATGTGTGTGTATGTATGCATGCATGCATGCATGCATGTATGTATGTATGTATGTATGTATGTATATATGTATGTATGTATATGTATGTATGTATGTATGCATGCATGTATGTATGTATGTATGTATGTATGTATGTATGTATGCGTGTGTGCATGTGTGTATATGGATATGTACATGCATATGTATATGTCTATGTCTATGTATATGTATATGTATTTGTATACGTATATGTATTTGTCTATATATGTATATGTACATGTTCATGTACATGTATATGTATATGTCTATATATGTATATGTATTTGCATATGTGTATGTATATGTATATGTATATGTATAAGTACAATTTTATGTATATGTATACGTGTATGTGTATGTATATGTATGTGTATATGTATATGTATATGTATAGGTATATGTATATGTATATGTATATGTATATGTATATGTATATGTATATGTATATGTATATGTATATGTATATGTATAAGTATATGTATATGTATATGTATATGTATATGTATATGTATATGTATATGTATATGTATATGTATGTAAAAGTATGTATTGTGTGTATGTTTTATATATATATATTTATATATATTAATATATGTATATATTTTATATATATATATATATCATATTATCACAGCAATAGCAACCTAACCGCGCTGTGTAGAAGCATATATGCTGGAAGCATCCCCTTAAGATTTAGGTGGGAATCCAGTAGTTTGTAGAAGTCTGCTGCTCTCGCAGAGTCGCTGGCCCAGCCTGCCTCGGCTCAGCCTCAGCTGCCTGCTTCAGCCTCAGCCTCAGTCTGCCTTCAGCCTCGGCCTCAGCCTCAGCCTGCCTCAGCCTCAGCCTGCATCAGCCTCTGCCTCAGCCTCAGCCTGCCTCAGCATCAGCCTGCCTCAGCTTCGGCCTGCCTCGGCCTCATCCTCAGCCTCAGCCTCAGTCTCAGCCTCAGCCTGTCTCGGCCTGAGCCTGCCTCGGCCTCAGCCTCAGCCTGCCTCAGCCTCAGCCTGCCTCAGCCTCAGCCTCAGCCTGTCTCAGCCTCAGCATGCCTCAGCATCAGCCTCAGCCTCAGCCTCAGCCTGCCTCGGCTTGCCTCGGCCTCAGCCTCAGCCTGCCTCGGCCTCAGCCTCAGCCTCAGCCTGCCTCAGCCTCAGCCTCAGCCTCAGCCTAGCCTCAGCCTGCCTCTCAGCCGCAGCTCAGCCTCGCCTCAGCCTCAGCCTCAGCCTGCCTCAGCCTCAGCCTCAGCCTGCAGCCTCAGCCTCAGTCTGCCTTCAGCCTCGGCCTCAGCCTCAGCCTCAGCCTGCAGCCTCAGCCTCAGCCTCAGCCTCAGCCTCAGCCTCAGCGTCAGCCTCTCAGCCTCAGCCTGCATCAGCCTCAGCCTCAGCCTCAGCCTGCCTCAGGCTCAGTCTCAGCCTGCCTCAGCCTCAGCCTGCCTCAGCCTCAGCCTCACAGTTGGCTCCGGGCAATCAAAATGTAGCCTGGGAATGTTGTTCTGGGAACACGAAGAACACGAATGGTCTACAGTTGGCTCGGGGCAATCAAAATGTGGCCCGGGAATGGTGTTCTGGGAACACGAAGAACACGAAGTGGCCTACAGTTGGCTCCGGGCATTCAAAATCATGCCCAGGAATGGAATCCTGGGAACTCGAAGACCACGAAGTGGCCTACAGTTGGCTCCGAGCATTCAAAATCATGCCCAGGAATGGAGTTCTGGGAATTCGAAGACCACGAAGTGGCCTACAGTTGGCTCCGGGCATTCAAAATCATGCCCAGGAAGGGAGTTCTCGGATCTCGAAGACCACGAAGTGTGTAACTGTTTGCTTAAAACGACTTCCGCGGCTTCTCCCCGGCACCCGCCCAGACCCCCCTGGGGAGTCATGATGCTCTCTTTTGACACTACTAGAAACCTATCAGTCTTCGCTGTTAGGTAAAAAAGATGGGGAGGGGGTCCTGGACCAGGGGGGGCCTCACTTTGCCCAGTGGCTGTGGTCACCCCCCCGCCGGAGACGCCAGGACGCTCCCAGGACCCTCTAAAATGGGTCCAGGACGCCCTCAGGACAGCCCAAGAGAGGTCCGAAGCGGCCTGGGAGCACTCCAAGACGGTTAAAAAGCTGCCAAAGCGTCCCAGCAGGTCTCCGACAGCACTCCCGGGAGGGGCCCAATAGGAAGTTGTCTTTGATTTTTAGTGGGTTTTGAAGGGTTTGGGCGTTCTCCCCAGTTCGGCTTCCAGACGCTCCAAGGCGGCCCAAGAGGCCCGAAGGATCGCCTCAAGACGGGCCCAGTTGCCCCCAAGAGACCACCGAGACAGCCCAAGAGGGCCCCAAGACGGCCCAGGAAGCTTCCAAGACGGCCCAAAAGAGTTCCCAGAACACTCCAAGAGGAGCCCCAGATGGGGAACACGAACTGACATTTCGAGCCCTCGCCCACCAGAAGCTCCCAAGAGGCCTCCAGGAGTCCGCAAGAGGCCTCGAGAGGCCCCCAGGAAGCTCCAAGAGGCCTCCAAAAGGCGCCGAAAGGGCCCCGCAAGGCTTCCAGACGCTGGTGATAATGACAATGATGATTATGCAGGGCGGCCTCAGGCCCACAACCTAAATCCCCAATACTGCTCACGCGGCATGCAAGACGCTGCGGAGATATCCTCGAGTTCGGCGGGGGAGCTTCGGAGACGACGGTGACGAAAATGATGACGATGATGACGACTATTATGAAGTTGACGACGACGATGATGATGATGATGATGCTGATGATGATGATGATGATGATGAGGATGATGAGGAATAATAAGATTATGATGATGTTGACAGTGGGAATGATGATGCTGATGCTGATGATGATGTTGATGATGGTGATCGTGCTGTGAGTGATGGTGATGATGATGATGATGATGATGATGATGATGATGATGATGATGGTGATGCTGACGATCATTATGATGATGATGATGCTGATGGTCAGGATGATAACGCCGATGCTGATAATAATGGTGGCGATGCTGTCTATGGTGCCTGTGATGCAGGAGTGGGCGGATGATGAAGATGATGACGATGATGATGACGATAACGATGACGACGATCACGACGACGACGACGATAATGATGACGATGGCGATGATGAGGATGATTTGTCATGATTATGTATTATGTTGATCATTCAGGTCACGATATTGACGATGATGACGACGATGGCAATGATGACGATGGTGATGACGATACTGCTGCTGATGGTGGTGATGGTGACGATTGTGATGATGGTGATGGTCATGGTGATGATGACGATGCCGCTGACGATGACGCCGGATATGATGGTGATGAGGATGGCGATGATGACGATGGCGGTTATCCTAGCTAGAACTTGAGCGCGCGCGAAGCGCGCGCGATGGTTCTAGTACATATATATATATATAGATAGGGAGAGAGAGAGAGAGAGAGAGAGAGACAGAGAGAGAGAGAGAGAGACAGAGATATATAGAGTTATGGCAAGGCCAAAAACAAAACAATCATACGCAACCTGGTAAGGTTGAGCGTCAGAGAAGGAGAGGACAATCGAAACGCGAAATGAAACCAATTTTCGCCATTACCGCTCGCCTTTGCCCACCTTGCACGCACACACCCCGCACCGCCCCCCCCCCACCCCCCCCGCACACACATGCACTCCGCCCCCTCCCGCCCGCCACCCCGAAAGAGAGAGGAGGCCCTGATATCCGCCGACATGGTTTTTGGATGCGCGGCCCGAGAGGTCCCAGAGGTCCCGAGCCCTCCTCTGGGGGCAGTTTCTCAGGGCTCGTTTCGACTCCTCCGATTCGAATCGATTCGATTTCGATGGCTTCCGATTCCGATTCGATTCGACTTGGGATTCCGATTCGGGTTCCGATTTCTTCTTGGAGGCATACTAGCCTGCCGATTTCTGCCGATTCGACCTTTCCCGACTCGGCCGCCGATTTCTGCCGATCCGATTCATTTCGATCGCCGATCCGAGTTATCGATTCGATTCTGGGCTCTCCTGGTTTCTGCCCCGGCCGCAGCTCTGAGGGAGGTCGTGCCGCCGGAGGCGGCGGCGGCGGCGACCGCACGAGGCGAAGGGCCGCGACCCGAAGGGGGGGTGGGCCCTCTTCAGGAGGGAAAAACACACACAGACACAATTAATCGTCGATTCCCAGGAAGATATGGGAAAATGTGGGAAGTGGGAGGGAAGACGAAAACCCAGAAAATATAGGAAAATATGGGGAATCTTTTTATTTGTGTGTATTTATTTGTGTGTCCCAGGGCCCCTTCACCCTCTGCAG